TAGGAGGGGCCTGTGACCTAGGTGAGGCCGAGGCCGAAACCGCGGTCCATCCTGAAATTTAGTGGCATTGTGAGGCCTATTAATATCATTTTCGGAAAGTTCAACTATCAATCTTTTATCACCTTGTGCGACCTATGTTAAACACAATTCTTATTCAATACCTGCCAGTAGTATCAAGACCTACTCAATCTGACCACACTATAATGCCGTCATGTATTAAGAGGTATGGATCTAGGTCAAGATAGAAGATAATGACAAACGGCAGGTTCGATAATTACCGAGTCATTAAAATTCAATGCAATTTTCTCAATTGTCTTATATTTAATCGTACAGCAACACTTGAGAGAAGTGAAGCTTATTTTATCTATTAATCGCGAATGGTAATTCATGTGTATATAGGTGGTCATTTGAAATATGAGAAATATAAGACATGAATTTAGCTGGCATGATGACTAGGAAAGTTATCTAAACACACAGCCCATAATATAAAAGTAGGGGCTTTTCTGCAATTAGGAAACTCAATAATTTGTCGAGATCAATCTCATTAAAAAACAGAAATGGTTGTTCATAGGTAATCGAAGTATACCCACCTTAACTCTGAATAAACCACAAACATAAGGATAAGTGAGCAAATCCGTTGGTGCTAAAATTTAGAATGGTGATTATTATTATTTTGTATCTGACAAAAAAGCTGACTTATTTAGCCATCAATTGCTATTGAAAGCCGTCTAATGATAACTAAATATATATACATATATATATATATATATAGCAACCTGTAATTGAGAGGCTGTAACTCTGTGCTAACGATGACGCCTTTCATTGACGATGCCAATTGAATGTCTGCGAATGTAACAAGGTCTTCATGTTGCGAAAACGATGTTAAACCAATACTATATAGTTAAATGAGACTACGGCCAAACGGAACCACAAGCATAAGGATAAGTGAGCAAATCCGTTGGTGCTAAAAGTGTGGAATGGTGATTATTATTATTTTGTATCTGGCAGAAAGGCTGACTTATTTCACACATATATATATATATATATA